CTGACCCCAAATCTGAGCCTATCATACACTGGAACCCCCGTCCTGAGCCTCTTACATCCCCAAACTCCTGCATCCCCACATTCTCAGTCTTCTGCCACAACATTCCTCCACCAGCCACACATCACAAATCTGTGTCCTGAGCCAATCATACTCACAAACTTCTTGCCCTGAGTCCCTCACAAGTACCTTCACATCCACAAGCCCTGGCTTGCTCCGCACCCCAACCTTCCACCTGAACCCAACTCTCCCCAGCCTAGAGCCCCCTCCCTGAGTCAACAGCCCTTTCTCCTGCATCCAATTTCCCTCCCAGAGCTTGTACTTCTCACCCCTTCCCACACCCAAATCCCTCATTCCCACCCCACACCTCACTCTCACTAGGTTGAGACAAGTATAAGGGCTGGGTATAGCAAGTGATGGAGAGGAGGGGAACAGAGCAGATGAGGCCTCACAGAAAGGAGATGGGGGGGGGGGGTCTTGGGGAAGGAATGTGAAATTCATGAATTGGTGGGTCCCTCTCTCCTCCCCCCCCCCTTTTTTGCTTGACAAACCTAGGGGTTCCTTGACATTTTGAAAAGCTGAAAAGGGTTCCTCAGCCAAATAAAATTAGGACACACTGCTGTAGTAAATGACAAGCATGGGCTTTCAAAGACTTGTTACAGCCTTTAAGCTTTAAAAACATTAAGCTTTTTGTGCACTTATGCAAGTGCCATTATGATAGAATCAGGTTTAGAGTTACATTACAGTTGTCTGAGCTTTCCTAGTTATTTCCAGAGGTGGTGTATTTTCAATTACATTAGGTGGAGCTTAATTTCCACTGACAAGGAAATTGAAGTGGAACTCCTATCAGCATTCAGAGGCATTGCAGAAGATGTGTTCTCCCCAAACAGGAGGCAAAGGTGGGCTTTCTAGTTTGTGTATTCTGAGAAACAGCTTTATGCTTCTTTCAGAGATTTGTTTTGATGCTCACACTCCTCCATCTTTCAAACAAGACACAAATACAGCTGAATTGAGAGAACCCAGGGGAAAAAATGTGTAGAAAAAAGTGATCATGAAGGAAAGTAAGAAATTGCAGAGACATTCTCTTCAATTCAGAATTAAAATTATATAAGCATTGTGATAGTGTCCAAGAAATGCACTGGTCACATCACATCAAAAACTGTAATTTCACCATAAGACTTGTGCATCCTTTCTAATTGCTCCTTAGACTATTTTCCTGATTCACTTCTTGCTTCTTTGTATGCTTCCACATCTTACACTTGGAATAGTTCGTTCTAGAAGTCAATAGCACCTCCCTAATCCTTCACAATTCTTTTTTTTTTTTTTTTGCAAAGTCTTCCTAAATAGGTTTCCTAACCTACCAAAATGCCATGTGTTAATTCATCCTGAATATCATATTTGTCGAGTACTTTTCTGTTGTGTCCCACAAAGCACTGTCAACAGCTATAGCTTCTACACATATAGAACAGACTACTTTTTGCAAAGTGGAGACATCAGTTCACTGGCCTGTCTTAGGAGAAATATACTGTGAGAATGAAGACACCATTAACACATAAGGATGTCAGATGCAGGGCATTTGTTTATTGGAGAACCTTCATCAAGCTCGTAGTAGCAATGGTCATTAAACAGTTACATGACCTGTTCTGACAAGGTTACAAAAAAACCCACATGGATTCCACAATCAGAAATGCCACAGTACCACAATATTCCCCATATGTTAAAGAGGTACTTTACAATTTGCTGAATGACTATAACAGTCATGAAGATACACTAAAACCTTGTGGAAATAAGTTTCATATAAATATGCAAACAGGGAAATAAAAAAGTGAACTAAAACCTCTTAGTTGCTAAACTAATTTCTGCATGACATTGCCTCTTCAATTTTGTTAGGATTCGTAGTTTAAATAATACAAAGAAATAGATTTTAAACTTTCCTAGCCTGTTCTCCTAAGGACACTTATCTTTATGTGACACAAAATTATAATACACAGTATGTTGTCAAAACAAATATTAGGTAATTTTTTAGACAGATTTGCCCTTTACCCAAACACATCCCAAAATAAACGATCTAATAATATAGTTTCAGCAGCAATGTCTAACATGGTATTTAAAAAAACCGCACTGGCAAGTCAGATTAAAAGAATATTGCACATTGTCTATACTGCTGTTCTGAGAACCTTTACAAACCAATAATACTGGCTTCCAGCAACTACAGAATGGTGGTTGCATATCAAGTGAGTGTGTTTGACACCCAGGTAAAATTCTCTATGTTACTTGTAACTATTTACGTTATTATACAAATCCTACATAGACTTTTTAACCAAACATAGGTCAATGATTTTAAAAACATAACCCTTTGGATACATGGTAACAGGTATCAGTCTCATTGCAGTTAAATGACTAGTTCCCTTAACCCAGTTTTACTTTATTGCTCTAAGATGGTTTTTAAAAACCAAAGTTGTGTGCAGCCTAATATTGCAGCCCTAGAATAAAGGCAGAACTATTCCTACTTTCATGGTAGAATTCACTGGTTTCCCTCTCCACCCCATCCTCATTAAGTTCTTCAGTTCTAAACTTCACTTCGACCACTGAACTGTAAGTCCAAAAATGCTAAACTGACGTCAGTAAACCCCTTCTGTGTATATATAAGAATTTTCTTCCAAAGGGTTTTCTTCAAGCAACATTAAATCCCTGATGTAGGTTGTAAACAAGTTTACTAAACACATTATATCCAGTCACATAAGGCAGCAGCAGCTTAAAAATCTAGAAGGTGATTTAAGATTGAGGTTTTTTTACATGAAGGCAGACAGAGGTTTTGTTCAGTGGCAGAGCACCCAAATCCAAGAGGACTTTTAAGGCAAAGAGGATTTGATGGTCATCTGGGTTGCTTTCATTCCAAGTCAAGGAAAGGGAAAGCAGCATCTTACATAGAGATTTTGCACAGTCTAGGATTGTTCACCCAGATATCATCAAGAAGCTTCTGTATCATCATTTTAGTGATAGTTTCCTGTAGGATAAGCTACCATCAGAGAGACCTTGGGGTAAAGCTCACTTTCAACAATACCCTCCAAGAATGTTATTTGACCAGAAGCCCTTCCAAGCATGCCTGCTTGAAGTAACCCTTTAAATCACAAGTTTCAGCATGATTCATTGAAGCTTTTAGTATGGAAGCTAAAAAACCCCACAGAGTATAACTTCTTACACAAGATGCTTTTCAAAAGGGACGATCTAAAATAAAATGTACGTTATTGCATTTCTGTTTCTCTTAGTCTCATTAAAAGCCCAATCTTTGCAGGCACATCACCCATATTAGAAAGTTTGATCTGGAGGCCCATCATCTGAATGAACTTGAGCCTATGTGAGTATGTTTCGCCGCACATACACATTTGGCTCACATTCCACTGGGCCCTCTGTTCAGACTTTACTCAGATCATCACTTTTTTAGATGGTCATCTGTCAAAACACCTGGCAGTGTATGAGTGGTGGCCACTGAAATAGCTGCTGCCGTAGGCCATGGAGATGCAATGTCTAGGTTCTGTTGCTATAGCCACCTGCATTGTGATAGGTGCCTGGAGGGGAAGAGTCTGCACAGCAGATTGAAGGCTGGCCTGCAGAGCAGAATAAGAATGCAGTGAGCTGCTAACACTCCCAGAAAGCAGGCTGCTGGGCCTGTGAGCCTGCAAGGAGTCACGGTAAGCAGAACACAAATCCTGCACTGGAGACTGGAACTGGGAAAGGGTAGCTGAGTGCTGGGCTAGTGGGTGATAACTGGATTGTTGAAACAGGACCTGAGTCGTGGTTTGGTGGTCCATACTTTCCACTTCTTGCTGCTGCAATGTCACTTGCTTTTTCATCTTGCTGGCTTCTTTGACATCATTCTCATAATATCTATAGAAAACAAAAATTAAAGCACAGTTTTGTCAAGCAAATGTAAGCTACTAGAACTGGTCTAAATATATGAGGAGTTTCTAGAAATTGATTTTCAACTGTTTCCTTGACAGGCTGTTCCTACACTGTCAGTAGGAGTTATCCTGAATGCAGGATTTGGGCAATGGTAGCATGCATTGATCAGAGATAAGACTTATCATAATCAATAATGTTCATACGTCACCTGTCTTGGTGTGATCTGTAAGCACTAAGTAGATAGAAATGGTCAATTTATTCTAAGGGTCACTCTGCACTGTTAACACATTTAGTGGGCACCTTGCTATATTGGTCTACAGCATGAAGAGATCTTTTAGAACATGCAGCCATATTGTGTAGCAAGGCCCCATAATTGCATAATATCAGTAAAGGGAATACTGTCCGGTCTCTGCTAGCAGGAGTTGCCTGTGTCCACATAAGTTGTGTAGTAATAGACCGGGGGTCAGCAACCTATGGCTCACAAGCCAAATATGGCTCTTTTGGAACTCAAGCCCAGCCCCCTTCTTACTCCTCCCACAGCAGGCAAAACACCCCCCGCTGGCCAGACTGGGCCCCCAGGAAGCCTCCCCTGCTTGCTGTGTGCCATGCAGAAAAGCAGCTGCGTGGCCATTTGTTTTCCACACGCAGTGAGCAGGGAAGAGAGGGGGATGCTCCCGCCCCCAGCACAAGCTCTTTGGCCAGTTTTGGCCAATGGCAACTGCCTGTTCCAAGAACAGGCAGTGTGGGAACCACAAATCACCACTCCTCTCAGGCTCTTAGTCACGGAGTACATGGCCAGGCAGCCTGTGGGGGCAAGGCTGGCTCCTGCCAGAGAAATTAGAATGGAAGCTGCCGCGAAGCACTAATCACCCCACCCCTCAGGCTCTTAGTCACTGAGCACATGGCCACGCAGCCTGGGGGCAAGGCAGGTTCCTGCCTGAGAAACATGCTGGGCTACAAGTCTCACAGGGAGAGGTCCCAGCCAGAGACTGCCCCTGGTACCCCAGCCTCCTGCCCCCTCCTCCACACCCCCATATTCCACATAACCCAAACCCTCTGCCCCCCTCCTGAGCCCATGCCCCTCCCAGACACTGCACTGCAATCCCCTGCCCTGGGTCACCCTCACAATCCAAACCCCTGGCCAGACACCCATCAGCACCCTGCCCCTTTCCCATGGCCAGACACCCAGGAACACCCTGCTCCTGCCTCCTCCCCCTGGCCAGACACCCACCTACACCCTGCCCCTGCCCCTTCCCTGGTGAGACACCTATTCCTAGTTTGTTCCTGCACCCTATCACCCACTCAGATTCTACACCCCATCCCTATCCCGCTCACTGGCAGCTGTCTCACATACTGGGCCCCTCATTTTTGGCCCCACCCCAGAGCTTGGGGAGAGAGGCACAAAATCCACTAACCCTGGAACCCCAGAAGAGTTAACTTGGCCTGAAACCTTGAACCTCAATCCTACCTGCCCTTCTCCCCTTCTCCACCATGAGGCTGGAGTACCAGGGGAGTAAGGGTATCTCAGCTGGGGACCACACCAATGATGGTTTGAGGTTCCCCGCTCCAAAGCCCCTCTCCAACTACTCTCATTCTCTGACTCAATGGAAGGTTTTCTACACAGTATGCGAAACTGGCAGAGTACAGCTCCCAGTGACACATTGTCATGTGTGAAAAAAAAAAACATGACAAGCTTGAAACAAAAGCTCTCTTTTCTTTTCTTTTTTTTTAATCCCCAAGTCTACATCAGCGATCAAAGTAGAGAGCTGCTTGCTCTGTCACTGAGGGAGGTGAAATTGCCATGATTTGAACACAACCTAAAATGCACTCTGCAATTCAACTCAGTCATTATAAACATACTTCACAGCTCTGACACAGCTGTTCCTCCCCTATGGAACAGAAAATAATATTCAAACCTCACTTCTTGCAACAGAGGGAGAAAATACAGAAAAGCCCACCCTACCCCGAATCTTTCAGAAATAATTTCAGCTTAATATATAATTAGTATTATATAAAATACAGCAATATTAGCAATAATTCTTTGCCTTTAATATTAGCATACAAAGCGCCTCTAATGTAGGCTCACTTCTCCAAACCATGAGCACTATATAGGAGCTCAAGTGTTAAGGCCCAACCTCAGTGCTGTGATAACCGGGCGAGACTCTGCTGACATAATGAGTTGTATTTGTACTCACTCTCACTAGGGATGAATCTGGTCGACAGTGAAGGAGTTGGATACATGGGCTTCTTCTGTGGGAAAGATGCCAAGTGAACCCCCCATTGTCAGACTGTAAATTCTAAATCATATACTGCTGGTGTCTCTATGCAAAACCTTAAATGCAGATTTATGGTGGTCTTGTAATGCCCGCTAATATAACATGTGGTCATAAATTAGAACATATGAAACTGCAGAGATAAGTCTGTAAATGTGTTCAGTATTTATGAGCAATAAGAACATCTGTTTTAAAATTAAAAACTCCATTCTGAGAATAGCAAAATTTGGAAGAAAAAACATGATACATTTTATAAAGTTTTCCCTATAAAAGCTCTCAAAAGATGATCTGGCAAAACCCTTTTAAAATTCAGTCTCAAAGAATCAGAGGAAATTTCAGTTCTCTTGTATCGCAATGAATAGTTAGCTGTGTGTAAAAGGGGTATACGGTGGGATGAGCTACTGTTTCAGGCACTGTATGGAACATGACTTCCTAACTGTCAGGGTAGTTAAGCACTGGAATAAATTGCCTAGGGAAGTTGTGAAATCTCCATCACTGGAGATTTTTAAGAGCAAGTTACACAAACTCCTGTCAGGAATGGTATAGGTGAGGGGTCGGCAACCTACAGCTCACAAGGGAGCCAGATATGGCTCTTTTGAAGCTCGAACTGAGCCCTCCCTCGCTCTCCCCAGCAGCAGGGAGCCTGTGCTGGTGCCACAGCAGGCCTAGGCAAAACAATCCAGCCATGGACACAGCACAGAACCTCCCAGGGAGATTCCCCTGCTTGTCCCACCGCCACATGCCTGCAGAAAAGTTGCTGCAGGGCTGTTTGTTATCCACACACTGTAAGCTGGGAGAGAAAGGAGGGAGGAGTGCCTCATAGCTGTGTCCACCCCCAGCACAAACCAATTGGCCAGTTCTGTCCAATGGAAGCTGCCGCGAAGCACTAATCACCCCACCCCTCAGGCTCTTAGTCACTGAGCACATGGCCACGCAGCCTGGGGGCAAGGCAGGTTCCTGCCTGAGAAACATGCTGGGCTACAAGTCTCACAGGGAGAGGTCCCAGCCAGAGACTGCCCCTGGTACCCCAGCCTCCTGCCCCCTCCTCCACACCCCCATATTCCACATAACCCAAACCCTCTGCCCCCCTCCTGAGCCCATGCCCCTCCCAGACACTGCACTGCAATCCCCTGCCCTGGGTCACCCTCACAATCCAAACCCCTGGCCAGACACCCATCAGCACCCTGCCCCTTTCCCATGGCCAGACACCCAGGAACACCCTGCTCCTGCCTCCTCCCCCTGGCCAGACACCCACCTACACCCTGCCCCTGCCCCTTCCCTGGTGAGACACCTATTCCTAGTTTGTTCCTGCACCCTATCACCCACTCAGATTCTACACCCCATCCCTATCCCGCTCACTGGCAGCTGTCTCACATACTGGGCCCCTCATTTTTGGCCCCACCCCAGAGCTTGGGGAGAGAGGCACAAAATCCACTAACCCTGGAACCCCAGAAGAGTTAACTTGGCCTGAAACCTTGAACCTCAATCCTACCTGCCCTTCTCCCCTTCTCCACCATGAGGCTGGAGTACCAGGGGAGTAAGGGTATCTCAGCTGGGGACCACACCAATGATGGTTTGAGGTTCCCGGAGGAGTTGTTTTTTTGCTTCTCACTTGTATGGTCCCCAACTGATTTTTCTATAGGGCAGTGGCTCCTAACCCAAAAAAGGTTCCCCACCCGTGCCACAAATAAAGACAATGTTGAAAGCTTTTGTGTTGGACATAATATTTTACTTTATTTAAAAATAAAGGTTGGCCAGCAAGCCCCCAATTGGGGCTTAGCCCCCATCTGGCTGCAGCATCATAACACTCCTGTACCCCCAAACGCCCCATCCCAGAGCCCATCATACCCCCATATCCCCAAACTCCTGCACCCCCACCTCCCCAGTCTCCTGCCATAACACTCCTGCACCACCCATATACCCCAGACCTGTGCCTTGAGCCCATCATACATCCAGCCCCTCTGCCCTGAACCCCTCATACACTCCAATCCAACAACTCCTGCACCTCCATATCCCCAGCCCCCACAAGATTGACAGAAAACAACCTAACTGCATTGCATGAAGCTGGATTTGACCAGTTATGATATAAACTTCAAAGAATTGTGCTAAAAGATGCAACAGCAGAAGTCCCATTAAATAAAATCTGAGAGTGCAAGATTTCATTTGTTCTATTGTTAACCATTATGCCAATTATCAATAATATTAAGTTAGATATTTTCACTCATGCAAATGAGCATTCTTACACAGCTCTTTGTTGACCACTTGTTCTGAATTTTGATGTCATTTGGCTCTTTGGTTTGAAAAGGTTGCCAACCCCTGTGATAGATCATGACAGTGGCCCAGAGGACACAAGACAAACAATATCCTCTACTGGAGAGAGAGTGAGAAGAACAGTTCTGGAATGTCTCTGTTGTAAGGGGAATATCACTATCACTTTACAGTATTACTTCATACACTAAAAGCGTTATAACATCACAAAGGATGGATTACTACTTCCACAAAACTATAGGGGGAGCCAAATTTTGTATGGCCTACCTACTCAATTGCCTGAATAATTGCATAGTTGAGGTAATGGATTCACATACTGTACTACCATTGCACCAATATTTACAAAGATTACCCCAATCCCCAACTCTACTGATATGGATTGAGATGTACTGATCTCATGTGATCTCGATTACGGCTAATCAAAATGCCACTTGGAGTCTTTACAGCTCTACTTTTCTGGAGAACAGAAAGTCTACTAAGAGTTTGAGAAATTGGTTACTTTGGTCCAGCAGTCTTACATTAGCATCATTTCGATACACTGGGCAAGATGCTCCCAGGAATAACATGTTAGCAGCTGGAGCTGTGTGGTCCAGGAGGGAGAAATCTGCATACAGATGCGCGATGCACACACACAAGCAGCAGCAATCAGAGATGGTCGAAAGCTGAGGAAAGCGTAATCTAAAGAAATTAAAAAAAAATACTTTGACCTATCGCCATTCACTATAATGAATTCTACTCACTTTGTCCATATGCAGCGAGTTGGACAAAGTTACATGGACAAATGCCCACAGAGTTGGACAGTTAAGTCTCCATCTTTGATACATAGGCCTCAGGTTTGCATCTGATGTCCAGCAAATACCTTCTGAAAACAGGATAGAACATTTCAGACCATGACACGTTTGTGGATTTATACCTCTGCAAGACATTCTCATCTGTTCCATATCATGCAAGTTGAGCACATTCATTGACTTCTTATCAAGTTTTCTATGAAGGGTCCCAACTGCAACAAGGTTGGGCCACTTAACTTTAACCAACTTTTTCAAGAATCAAGAATACACCATAGTTCAAATCTTGCATCAGTCAAGACAGTAAGCCTCTTTGGCTTTTTAACAGCTATCCAAAATATCTCTCTCTCTCAAAGGAAAAATCCACAACCCCTTATTAGGGGCATCACAGAAGTTCTAGGACTGAATCATTCCAATCTAGTTTTAGATGCTTGCAAAGAGGGCCATATAGACTCTTCTAAGTAGTGCTGCCGGATGCTTTCAGAAAAAATACTGAGACCCCGAGAGTTGTTAATCAAAACAAAAACAAAACAAACATACAAAACCACCCCACTACTGGGCCCCTTTAAAAAAATGTGTGAGAGGCTTTTTGGCCCTAACAGGCTGCCAGCGGCCTCCCACCATCTTGCCTTCTTGTGCCGGGCCAGACAGCTCCCCTGCGAAACCTGGTAAGCACTAGGATTGCCAGGCTGCCTCCGTATTGAACCGGACAGCCTGAGATTTTCACCTCCTGGCCAGGAAAAAATCAGAAAGTACCGGACATTTCAGGTGTTGGGTATTCTTTGAATTTTTTTACCTGATAGGAAGTGAAAATACTGAACTGTTCAGTTCAGTACTGGACACCTTACAACCCTACTTTTAAGGGAAAGGTTCTTCCCTCAAAAGTGCCTTTGATAATATATGCCATTTGCAGTTGGTAGCAATACTGAGGAAAGATACTGCTCTTTGGCCTGGCCTGTTCTGTGACAGTTTTAAAAGCCTTTATTTGCCTTGGATTTTTGCTACTAGCCCACTGGAAAACCACATATTAAAGCTGAACATACCCAACCTCGCACAGTTGGCCCGAGAGATTACCTTGCACTGAGAAATCAAGGAAATAGTAAGCATATTTCTCCATGAAAGCTTTGACTTTGCCCAGGGATGTGATAGGCCAGCCATTGTGAAGGTCGTTCTCACCCACAGAGGCGAAGAGGTAGTAGTCGATGTAGTGTGCTGGAGTTGGCAGGCACAGATTCCAGTTGAAACTTTCCAAGAGAAGCAATTCCATCTTGAGCAGGTCTTTCTTGTTTAGCACCATGTTCACGTTGTACAGGTAAACCAAGTTATTTAACTGCTCCAGTTTGGGAACACGAGCCTCCTTTTCTTCAAATTTGCCTAAAAAAAATTAAAGGTGGATTTCAAAACTGACTCAAAAATTCAAGCCCAAGGTCACCAAGATGCAAAGGATCCTGGCACTAGTTGTACACTAGCAAGCCTGTAGAATTCACAGATCCATCATGCAGCACGGGGAACAGCTAGCCAGAGTTTTGTGGATTTGAACACAAAAGTAATTGGGGAAGGGGGTAAGCAGACTTTCAAGGGGATGTGCAAACACGGTTTGATCTATCTGTACAAGACAAAGTTGTGCAGTGCTAGTACACCAGTGAACTATGAGTTCCAGAAGTTAAGGCAGGAAGTGAGGTCTGATAAGAGTCTTGCCTTCTGAATAAAAGGTATCTTTCAAATTGAAGCTTTCTTGTCTTTAAGAGCTACTTTAATATGCCAAACACCAACTCTAGATACATGCAAATGGAGGAGACCCATACAACTTAGAACAATAGCAGCAAACTTGATAGTGTGGGTACATACTTGATTATGAAGTTGTGTCTTACCTTAAAAACGTAGGGCATGTTTACACTACCAGTAGTGGTGGCACTAAAGATTGAGCTCTTCAACTCTTAGGAGAGCATCACTGCCACCCTCTCATGAGGTAAAATTCCTAGGCACTGTCTGGATGGGAGGCAGGAGGATGGTCCCGAATGAGACAGTACAGGAACTTAGCCAAGCACCATCCCCCGAGGATAAAACACAGTTGAGACAATTGCTAGGAATTTTGGGGTTTTGGAGGAAACATGTACCTGGCTTTGCGGTCATAGCTCGACCATTGTACAATTTGCTTAGAAAACATGCTAAGTGGGAGTGGGGCCCTAACCATGAGGAAGCTATGAAACAGCTCATAAACGAAATACACACTTATCAGTCCATGGGCCCCATACACCCTAATGCCCCATTCCATTTGTACCTTACCGTGGGAAATACAGGAATGTCCCATGCCTAATGGCAGGAAGGTGAAACTGTACCCCGTCGTCCTATACAGTTTGGCTCAAAGTCATGGCAGGGGTCACAGTCAAATTACTTGCCTTATGAAAAGGTGCTTCTGGCAGCCTACACAGCCCTAAGGGAAACAGAGGAGCTAACCCAAGCTCAAACCATAACCCTACACACTCCTCTTCCAATCATTAAGCCCATACTAGAGGGAAAGGAATTGCCACCACGCATAGCTCAGAAAATGACTGTACAGAGATGGGCACTTTATTTGCACCACAGGGTAGGTGGGGCAGATACTGCACAAAACCCCACCATGATTAAGGAGTCCCTGTGGAGGGTAGGAATGCCTGAGGAATACCATCAGCCCCCACAGCAATCTCCTATTAAGGATGCAGCCCCATTTAACCCGTCACAACCCGAGGGAGTATGGTTCACAGATGGCAGTGCCAAACTAGTGAAAGGAAAGTGGACAGGGAAGGCCGCTGCTGTATCAGCAGACACATCTGCTACACCCCTGACCACAAACATAGAGGGATCAGCCCAGCTTGCAGAGCTGGCAGCAATTAAACTGGCTTGTGCGGCAGGCGCTAGAACCATCTATACTGACTCCTATGCTGTATGGGCTGGAGCCACCCAGTGGATAACTAACTGGAAAAATAATAACTGGGAAATAGGAGGAAAGCCTGTTTGGGGAGTAGAATATTGGAAGTGGATATACCAGCATGCAACCCAACATGCACTGAGCATAGGCCATGTGGCAGCTCACCAAAAGAATAACACCCCGACTGCACGGCTGAATAACCTGGCAGATGCAGTAGCACAGATCTCTGCTGTTCAGGTGGATTGGAATCGCCTGTACATTTGGCTACATGAAACCTTGGGACACACAGGAAGCAATGAACTAGTACGGCAGGCGCATGCCAGGGGGTGGCCTATCACCCACAAACAAGCCAGAGAATTGGTCCAAGCTTGCACCCTGTGTGCTGAGCTCAGGAAACATATAACAGAAGGACAACGGTTTGCCAGACTGAGAGATGGAAAGGTACTATGGGCAACCTGGCAAGTAGATTATATTGGTCCACTACCCACCAGTAAGCAAGGGTGGAAGTACGTTTTAACTGGAGTAGAAGTTATTTCAGGAATTGGGTTTGCTTACCCAACTCGAGTGGCAACAGGATTATCTACAGTCATGGGACTAAACTGCTTAATAGCCCTTGTCCCAACGCTCCAAGAAATCCAGTCCGACAACGGCTCACATTTTAAAAACAAGCTGGTAAATGAGTGGGCCCTCCGCAATGGAGTCCAGTGGACTTTCCACCTCCCGTATCGACCCCAGTCTAATGGCATAGTCGAACGCTGGAATGGACTGTTAAAATCCCACCTGAGGCCTACGGATGGCAAATGGGGAAACAGACTGGATACTGTGGTGCAGAGATTAAACAACCGGCAGACCCCTACGGGCAGTCCACTCCACAAGGGATTCTTCCCTACAGGGAGAACCCCTCCTAGCCCCACTGTACCACTCAAGGATCCTAAATATGCACCTGGAGACACTGTGGTAATCAAGCACCCCAGCTTGGGGACACAAACACGTGTACTACACTCCTACAAGGGAAAAGGAGTCTGGACCACTGCCGATGCTGA